ATCTAAAAATTAATTTATTTGTACAGCATTTGAACATACAACTGTCGTTGAATCATGAAAGTTATTGCCGAAACGGCAAGTTTGAAACGGCTGAACTGACTCCAATCAAAATTGGAGAACCTAATTTTGGAACGGCCACACTGACATCTATGCCAATAAAGCGCAGTTTGGAAGTGAAAGAACTTTTTCGAGTTAGGTGGTACCTATTCGGTGTTGAATTGTGGTAGTTATTGCCGGGAAAACAAATTCTTGAATGGTTGAACTAGCCAATATAAATTCATTCAGCCAGTGCACCGTTAAAAAGCGAATGTATTCCTCGATAATAATCAAGTTGATAATGTAACCCCTTAACAATGAATGTAATCCCTTAACATAATCAAGTTGATAATTATCACCATCTACCTGACCGTAATATCTAACATCAGATCCTCAACGACAGTTGAGTGTTTCAAGAACGCAATGTCTCGAATGTCGGTGTTAGAGTAGGTAACGATCAGAATTAACAAAGAAACTAAAAGGTATAATCACCATGCAATCATTAAATAAATATTAAACGAGAATTCAACCACAACTCAAGCTTCCCATGAAAACCCAAGTACCCTATGCGAAACTAAGATCAAACATTTAATTTTTAACGTTAATTAATATACTACGGTGAGTAAATGGTACGCCTATCAAATGTGCATCGAAATTTCGAGATTTATCAGTGCACAGAAATTAGAATCCCATTAACCTCAATTCTTGGGAAAGCGGTACAAATTACCAATGCAATCGTATTTTTTGCGAATATCTTGTATCAGAAATACAAATAATTTTGTGACCTCCTCTGATCGAAAAAGTAATTTTAGCTTTACTATAGGAAAAATTCTATAGTTTACTTCTAATGATTAGCATGATAATCGAGATGTAGTCGACTTCAGCCATTATATAGCAAGCGAGAAGTTTTAAAACCACAGCTGAAATCCGAGACTGATATGCCGATGCATAGAAAAATCATAAATTTCAATGTTCAAGACAATCGACTAGAAATTAATAGCTTACAGTATGTATATGTACGTCAACTTTTCACCTATCTTAAAAATGTCATTGTATTCAGAACGTCCGGGAGGACTCAACTGTCCATGTTTCAAATCTCTTTCTCAGACAGTCACGAGACACAAATAGTAATGTTAAACAGTGCGGCATTTTCGTTCCGGTAACATTTGTCGAGCTACGTCAGTTATGTTTCTTCTTCGAATGTAATGTGAACAGCCGAGTTTGAGTCGGCTGAACCAAGCTCCTGATGAGTCTTTAGTTAGCTTTATTTGTATAATGTATGAAGTTACGCGCGTGAAGGCTGGAAAGAACACGGCAGCACGGAACAGGCTTTATTGGAACCAACTTAATGAACATAAAACAAGAACGAAGGCTTACGGAGCACGACTTCTAAAACGTGCTTCTTCTTAGCGGCTAATTATTTAGAATACAGGAAACTTGATATTCTACAGTCTGTTCACCCAGTAGAATGAGTCAGCTGCACCGCAGCTGTGGGTGACTCACGAGTAAATTTACTTATTCACCCAAACGTAGGCAGACACGTACGTGAGCGGAGGTTGGCTCCGTCTTTCCGGAAGTCGAGCCAAGTTCCAGATTGTCGTGCGATATGCAGTGAGAAAACGATAAGATTGCACAACCTGCATGCCAATAACCTTCACGTAACAAGTGACCACAAAAAATGACTTAATGTTATTCAAAGAACTAAATTAAGTCAGAATTTGTGTGAAAATTGGCCAGAGTATGAAAAACACTGCAATTTTTAAAGAGCATTTAATTGTTTGGATATTCATCGTTTAATGCATAATTAAGCATCCCGAGCAGGTATACGAAGCTGATAATGTTTTAAGGTCAGACTACTCAGCAAGCTTGGGGCAGCAACTTCCTTCGTCTGCTGATTACGAGTGCGAGAAGCTTGTCAAACATTGCGTGCACTATGTCAAACACTTTCCAAGTGCAGGCATTCAGCATAAAACATAAACTTAAAGTTCAAGGATGAAATTAAAATTGCAGACCGCTTATCCAAAAAAGGAAATCGCATGTTTATAAAACCACCGTAACATTATAAAGATCATGAATCTTATCGGCTGTTACTTAAGGCAGTACGACAACAAATTTTCGTTTGAGAGAGAGGATTCCTATGTAAGGAATTCGAGTTGCATGTGGCGAGAGCTCAGTAGTGGCGTCGAAGAGTATAGGAGGTCGAGGCTGCAGAACTTTTGCAGGCTTAAGACAGTTAGTACTAAATTTTAGTAAATTAGTAATAATGCCACATTTGCCGCATGTCTAAGTGAACAATGATCACATTAGAACGTACCAGTGGTGATAGAATGCTATCTTTGAATTATTCGAGAAAATGCATTCACAATAGTTTGAACCATTGAAAATAATGAGAGCAATCAGTAGACACAGATTTGAAAACGAGTCCGTACAGAGTCAACTTTTTTACTATAATATGGCTCTGCTTCAAATAAGGTTGTATAGGCTTAGTTAATGCGCTATGCACCAGAGGTGAGTTGAGGTTGAGCTCAGGTTGAGGTTGAGGTTGGGCTCAGGTTGAGGTTGTGCTGCTAGCTGGGCACACAAGGTCTGAGCTGTGGGTGGGAGTGACGTCAGTGTTAACTGAGGACGACCTGACTGACAGACACCACTCACGGTGATGAGTCGAGCCTTCCCAGTGTATAGTGAACTGAGAATTACGGTAACCACATCATGCGTGTGACGCGATACAAGGGTGACTTACTTTCATAGGGAGTGACGTGATACTGTGGTGACTTTCTAAGAGGTGTGCCGTGATACTGTGGTGACTTTCTGGGAGGTGTGACGTGATACTGTGGTGACTTTCTGGGAGGTGTGACGTGATACTGTGGTGACTTTCTGGGAGGTGTGACGTGATCCTGTGGTGGCTCTCTGCGGGTGTTACGTGGTGTGACTGACCTAAAGCCATGCATGGTGTTTTCCTCAAGGTGTTACGTGATACTACTGTGGAACATTTTGGTGTGTTCTACTATCATGCTGATTTTCTGGCTGTATGATGTACTTTACAGGAACGCTTTGGTGTGGTGATACCATAATGGCTTTAAGAACATTTGACTTGATACTGTGGTGTGATACTTTAGTGTGACGTGATAGCGTGGTGATTTTCCTTTCAGACGTGATAAAAGCTGGAAAGCTTTGGTGTGGCGTGGTAGCATTGCGAAATGCTGGCTACCACGAAGTTTGGTTATCTGAAGTTTAGTTATCTGAAGTTTGGTTACAATAGCTCATGAACTTGATCGTACAGATCATCCGACGCTGTTGCTGTCCGACGACGCTGCAGACGGAGTATAATTATTTATTAAAGATTTATTGCTTGTCCATGCTGAGAAAGACAAAATTGTCCAATGATAACCAGCTTTCTATACGTGAAAATGGCGTGATACCTCTCGCCTGTAAGGTAAAATTGCATATGTTATTCAACAGTTGAAGAAATTCTGTGTGCAAACAGAAAATCTGGGCGCAAAAATTTTAAAGTAGGTATACTAGGTCAACAAATTCTCCAATATGACACCATATAGTGTCTATTTCAAAATGACAACATGAAATTGCTTATAAAATAATTATGCCCCAACTGCCACAGATAGAAAAATCACTAGGTCACAAAATCAAAAAACAATAATTCCTGCATTTATGGCCATTAATGGTGTTTCAATGCAATCCATGGCCATCAATGCGTAAATATATTTTTAATTTATTCAATGCGCAATTCTTCTGAAGACAAATCTCTCGCAGTTCTTCCGAAGACAAAGCTCTCGCAGTTCTTCTGAAGACAAATCTCTCGTAGTTCTTCTGAAGACAAATCTCTCGCAGTTCTTCTGAAGACAAATCTCTCGCAGTTCTTCCGAAGACAAATCTCTCGCAGTTCTTCCGAAGACAAATCTCTCGCAGTTCTTCTGAAGACAAATCTCTCGTAGTTCTTCCGAAGACAAAGCTCTCGCAGTTCTTCTGAAGACAAATCTCTCGCAGTTCTTCTGAAGATTCGTCTTTCTATCAGCCATATATTGCTCTTGAGAACTACGTATGATTGTTCAATAGCTGCATGCACGAGTCTTATCCGAGATAAGATAGCGAAAGGTTCTGTTGTTGATGTCATCCCCAATTTGGGATGCCAGTGTCAAGAATAGTATTAGTGCAGGTGGTTCATTCTTACATGTGTTTGTAAAAACTTGCGAACTTCCCTTTATATTACTGTATAGTTTTTATACTGAGCAAGAGGCATAGAAAATACTTGTATTACCGTACAATGAACCCTGACAACCATTGTAAGTACGTGCAAGGCGTTATTCAGAAATAACTTGCAAATAACAAATGCTAGGTATCAAATCGTAACTGACTTCGGTTAGTGTTCTACATTTTAGGTATTCATATTTTACTCACATATGAAGCCGTTTTGAGAATCGCTGCTAACGACTGTTTTGTATAAAAAATAATAGAAAAGAGTGACTTGCAAATACAAACAGAGGCGTTGTAATAAAATAGTTGCCGTATTTAGGAGACATTCGGGTGGAAAAATTTACGCAATGATAAAATGAAGAAGGAAATGATGTCCTAAATTATATTAATCAATCGATTAATTGGCTTTTGCGAATCATATGTTGGATAGCTTGATTTAAGGACTTGTATAAAAAGGGCGAATCTAAATGGTAAAATCATAGGGTAAAATCAAAATGATATAAGTTTTCACAATACTTTTGTATACTCAGTCTAAAATTAAATATTAATTGAAGTGCGAAAAGCATTATTAATCTACTTCTTCAACAAAACTTTAAATTCAGTTCTTCAGCAAAAAAAATACAAAAATTAGACCAAAAAATTCTAAAAAAAAGGACTGAGTCAGTGTCCATTTAGTGGAAGTTGTTTACTAAGCTCAAAGAGCATGCAAATATTCACTTATAGAAAAAATGAAACTTTCCCAAATCTTCCTCTGCTAACAGGGAGGAGCCAGGAGCCAGCTGCTCCTGAGCAGCTACCGTCTGCTGCACCGAGCTGTGAGATTCCCGTCCAATATCAAAATGAAAATCCAAGTCCAAGCAATGCTCGGCCGATTCAATTCTCTCACTTGAAAAATGAAAATAGTTTTCTTCAGGACCCATTGCTCATAGGTCATGAGCAACAGCGTTTTGGCACACAAAAAATAAATAATAATGTTACAGAGGAACATGAAAATAATCTTCATGTAACCAACCAAGAAATTTACCAATTAGCATTCGACCAGAATTCAGATATCCATACGTCAACGTTCCAATATACTCTATTTACTCAGCCAACATTGCCACAGGCCGAGAAACCTAATGTAGACTTAATGGCTGACATTGCATCTTTCCCTTCCTTTCAAGCATCGGCTTCTAACCCTCCACAATATCAACACGCGCAATTTGTGCCGCAAGAATCGCAGGATCACAAGCCGCTGCAGGATAATCAGGGTTCTCAGGGAGCGAGCAGAACAGACACCTCAAAAGGAAATACTATCGCCTTCATTCCTCCATTGCCATCTAACTTCAAATTCGATTATACTGCATTAGATGAAAACAACTATTGCCATGACCTAGGATTTCGTGATGACGCTGCGTTTCAAATTTCGACTCCGACCTTGTTGTCGTGTGCGGGAAAGCCTGAAAATAACATCGGTAATCAGAAAGTCAACCACTCTGTTCTAAACAATGGCTCCTTTCATGGCAATTTTAATTTCAGCTTTTCGTATCCAGAAAGTTCGTCAAAGTTCCGATTTGTAAGTAGAAATTGCTTGTCTTGCTAATAAACGAGTTCAGGAATCCTTTAAAATATTCGAGGATCTTTCAATAAATATGATTCTCATGTTCCCCAATCCATAAAAGATGATGGAAGTTTTTTACGACATGCCGCTGCGTTGGAATAATTCAGTATCTCGACGCTTGTTAATTAGATAAATTTTGATATTTTTACCTAATACATTACTTAATGTTTATATGAAACGTCTGACATTGCAGATCACAGCATGGATTTCGAAATGACAGTAAACTTTATTTTTTTCAGCTTCCAGGTGATGATGATGTCTATGATGGACAAATATTTGTGCGGGACACTGAGTTTACAGAATTCTACATTCACCACAACGCACCTGAAAACACCCGCGTGAGATTCATCTTACATCACAGCGACGCTAGCAAATTCTTTGATCCCGTCCTACCATGCAAAAAGCATCTCCGCTCAGAGCAACCCGGTGAGCGGACGATTTCCTTGATAATCCCAAAATAATCAAGATATCGCAGATTCTGCTTTCGCGGTAGTAATTCTCATATGTAATTGATTTGGCTTTTGTTTTTAAATGCTGAATGATGAGGTTTAACGGCAAAAAATATATTTATCACTAAATATATTTTGTAATCATTAATTGTTTCGGGCCTGCATCATTGTATATAACCATTACATCGCACAGATCACGTGATGTACGTGCCGCCAGCGCTGAACCCCATATACGAGACACGTGAAGGCCATGCCACGGTGGTCGTGGTGCCACGCAACTACAGGGGCGCTGCCCCCGCCCAGCAACACGGACTGGCGGAGTACCGAGGGGACGTCCAAATCAAGTTCCTCTGTAAGAATAGCTGCCATAAGGGCGCTAAGTGGAGCATAGTCGGAGAACTCTTGGGTCGGTGAGTAAATGTAGGATTAGTTCAAGTATACCCATCATGATCATTATTTACAAAAAAAAAATGTTCCCCCTGCAGAAAACATTTCACTTCTTAGGAATAAATGTGAATTGTTGTCAAATATTTATGAGAAACGAAGAGTGTACTTCTATTAGGTTTTGGTTTCCAAGATTGTTAATTTCATAAATAATCTTGAGCCAAGCCATGGATAAGTGAAGGCAATCAACATACCTATGGAAATTACGTAAACAAGTTGAAACCATATTCTGCGTTGCAGAAAGTTGTGTAATTTATTGATCATTTAACTTAGGTTTTGGCGGGAATATAAATGAATATTTGACTGGAAACTGTCTTCGTACCAATTAAGAGATGACTGTACCATGCGTATACCCTGCTCGGGTTATGTGCAAGAAATGCAAATAATTTAGAATCAATTTTGAATTTATCATTTGCAGTTAAAAAATTCTTCAATAAAACAAGACATGTTAAAAAATTAATGTTTGACTGACCTCAGTTAAAGAATTAGAAAAATTTATACATAATCTTCTAATTATTAAGCTTCATTATGATATGTTGATTTATGATTTTCAGGCTAAAAGGTAGATACAACTTTCCCGCAATAATTGTGTTTTTCTTGCACTTGATCACTTTTTGGCAGAGAGAATGAGGTGATAGGCCGCCAGAAGTACCATCTCAAAGTGAGCGCTCTGCCTACCCGCGACAGCAAACTGAAGCAAGGCGGCAGTAAGAAGAACTCAGAACCGACGAAGCTCGAGAATAACATAGAAATTAAACCTGAAGTGAAGAGTCTACCCTTGACAAGCGAAGTAGAAGGAAATGCTTCACTAAGCTTAAATCGCAGTATCAGTAAAGTTGATGCAGAAGCTTTGATCCCATCAATTCAAACGGCCCAAGCTAATGCCGCCAAAATGGATTTCGAAGCATCCTGCAACGAATTTGCTGAAGTAAAAAAGTCTGCGCACTCTTCAAAAATCAAAGAATGCTCGACAGAAATACAACCAAATTTAGATTTTGACGACTTAATAGGTTTTACATCAAATAATTTTTCACCACATAATATCAACGCTACACAAACATTTCTTGACCAATTTCCTGGAATCGATAATTATGAGCACAAATCTATTTCTGAACATCACCAAGTGCTTGATATATTAGGCCAACAGCAGAATTTGGATGTTCAACAAAAAGTAGATCTTTGGTCTCAAGCAGAGCAGCTAATGCCGGACTTGGAGCATTCAAACAAGCGCCTCTTGAAGCCTGACAGAGTCGATGGCGCTGCTGGAGTGCAGAAGCGGCAGCGCACGGTAAGTCAGGGACCGAAATATGACTACATTATTATTATTATTATATAAAGGAGTGAGTTGCTCCCTACTCTTAATGGTATATTTCAACGTTTACATCTCGAATGTTTAATTTTAACTAGAGACAAACGTTTATGTGTTACCGTACCTCAATTCAGGAAACTGATCTGGCTGTTAGCAATGATGATGATGTCTAGTGTATGGTTCTTCAAGTTTGTAATCGGACCAAAGCTGGCCACTTAAAAATATATTCGACGAATCAAAGATAACTGATCCAATTAAGTTACTTTCTTACAGGATCAAGAGGCAGTCTCTGCCTCGGAATGGGGGTCCCAGCAAGTCGATTTATCGGTGGATCTATCTTGCCAAAACGTCGATACCTCCAACCTCAACATGGCTTCCATGCAGCTAGGACCCACATTTCCGACAAATTTATCCATGTCATACTGTCAGCGTCAAAGGTCTCCTCTTCAAAGAACACAGCAAGTGCCTGAAAATTTCCAGGAGCCACATGCGGTATGGAGAAATCTTTCAGATTATATGTTATGGGATCATGAAATGAAGCGAATTTTTAAACTCAAATTCATTGAGAAATCACTTCAACAAAAATACCCTAAAATTCTACAAGCCATAGAGATAGATTTTGAAAGCCTACAGTTAAGAGACCAAGTTAAAGATCTAATACAGAATTAGTGTGGGATGACTAAAATGATATAACTTTAATCGTTCAAGATAAAATTAAAGATGGCTACGACGTAAACCGAAACTTGATATAAACATGGTCTCGTATATAATCTAGACATGACGTACTGTGAGGTACTGGCTGGACATGAAACTTATTTCATGTCCAGTTATTTGGTATAGATTCTTAACACGTTGACTCGATTGCTGTATCTTGTGCTATTTCATTTCTTGTACTATTATGAAATACACAAATTGAGGTTTTATAATTGATTTTTCATTTGTCCTAAGCATTCTACTACCGGAATAATATGTATTTTGCGTTAATAAATCCGAACTAGCACGGTAAAAAATATTTTGAAAAAAAATTCGAAATAATTGAAATGGGACATAAATGTAGTCTAGGGTTGCCAGACGGTTTTTTTCGGACAAAATCCGCGATTTAGCTTTTTTTCAGTAGGGTTGGCCGGCTAAAATTTATGATATGGGTACTTCCTAATAAAATTTTTAAAAATGCAAAAAAAAGAAATTGAATTTTTACACTGAAACCTACAAATATATACTAGTACACGTAGGTATATATATACTATTATGTTATAGGCCTTTTTTGTTCGAGGACTTGGCCGTTTTTAGGTCATCTGGCAGCCCTAAATTATATATGTACCACTACGTCCTGGAGAAATACACTTCGTGGTACGCATATGTACCACTTCGGAGTCAACGTGTTAAGTGAAATACGAAAGAAATATATGTTCTTATTGGAACAACATATTGAAACTAGGTCACAAAAACAGTATTGAAAATGAATTACCTCAAAGTGCCATGGTATAAAAGCGTTTAGGTTGCAATAATGTAGTTAAAGGTTACATTATTCTTACCTTCGAAACTCTACGCAACGATGAAGCCAAAATAAATAAAAAAAAAATATAAATTAAACACAATATGAAGAGTCAATAAACCAAATCATAAAATGCACAGATTTTTCAGAAGGTTTACTTACAAAATATGCCTGAATAATTTAATTTTAAATAATTTATCCATTCCTATTGTGCACTTGACAATGGGTTTTAAAAAGTTATTTTATTGCGATAATTGTCAGAAACGTCCTATATAATTATATCGCTTTAATTCCTTTGCGTAATGGAAGGTTTTCCCATTTATAAAGTTATAAATGACGACGTAAACGATCTAAAATAACAAAAACAATAAAAAACGAGAACTTGTCAAAAATTGAATACAATTTTACCACAGGAGTCATGACTGGACAGTTTTTGGACCTTGTAAATTCATCTTACCATCTTCATTCTGATTTTAAACTTATGTTGGCAATCGCGGACAATTGAGCCTCCAATTAAATATTAATAAAAAAATGAAAAGTGGGAAAGCCGAGTAGTCCGGCAAGAACAACAGAGCTTCAAACGACTGGTCACTTCTAACTTGCCCTACATTCTAGTTATCTTCTCTACATTCTATCATAACTCTAAAGTATTCCTCATTATATTAGAATCCTTAACTTGAGGTATGTGTCGCCTTCTTGCAGTGTCGGCTGCTAGCAAAAACAAGGTAGTATTTCTGGAGTCAGGTCAGCTCCAGCCTGGAGTCATTATTCGTCGGTACGGTATTCATCGAGTCGGATCAGCTATGTGCTGAACCATAATTCAAAGCAGATTTCCCCAATTATTATTTTCAGCAAATCTTGTATTCATTTGGGAAGCCTAGGGCAATTTCCAACCGATCAAAATAACAGGGTATGTTTGCGGCGATGTTAATTGTATCTCTTTAATGTTGGTTTAGTTCCTTCGAATTGTTCATCAAAATTTTCATAGTTTCCAGGGGTGCAGGGATGCTCAATAGCCTAGTGAGACGAGGCTCACTATATAGACTATTATCGCACTACGTTCAGTGAGACGAAGGCTACGGGTCTGAATAGACCAGGGGTTGAATGCTTTTATTAATCCGCAGTGCGACGAGGGTTGCGGGGGATCAGATGACGAAAATGCTTCACGGATGCGGGGGGAAAAGAAACAATGTTTACGCAGAACAACTTGACCGCGGCCACCGCGCACTCTCGTTGATGAGCGCGCGTAGCAGATTATGTCACCACATCGCTTGCAGGCCTCAATTTGTGATGCTTCAGGGTGGGCACGCGGCTTACTGGACTTTCAACTGATCACAAGTTTCACAACATTTTAAGGTAGGCAAGTAACCGCAATAAAATAACAAATAAAAGTCTTAGTTGAGGGGAACAGATCTACGATACATCAATCTAGTAATTCTAGTTCATCATTTTTCCTATATACACCTATATAACGTGTATACATTTTTCCTATATTAGTGTAGTTAGACAGAAGTTCTTCATTTATACAGGTTTGGTTGAAGACCAGAGCGTACTTTTTATTTACGATTTTCTTATTGTTCTTTTCGATAAGCCGAACGAAATTTCTAGCTGGAGCTTGGAGATCAAAAAGTAGATTACCGAATGACATTTTATTGCAGTGCGACGTTTCGAATATATCAATATTCATTATCAAGCAAGAAGGACTCGTTCGTCAGTCTTATGACCGCCGTTCATTTGATTTTGATAGTAGATTCTGGTGACGCAACCTCTTGATGTGGATTCATCTGTTCGGTTTTGACTTGCTCTGATATTTGAAATTTCTTTGTCAATCGTTTTGTTTGCATACCCGTTGTTGACAAGAATTTGTTTGCAGGTCCGGAGTTCAGTTTTTAAGTCACGAGCGGATGTACAGGTCTTGAACGCTCGATGGATGAGGGCACGTATGGTGCTGATTTTGTAGCGTTGGGGACATTCGCTTTCTTGGTTCAGGACATTTTTCCTATAGAACACGTTTTTTAGAACTTGAGCGCCAATCAGGTTTAAATGAGGCTTGTCTAGTCATCATTTGAATCAACCTTATTCGTTATTGTACAATGCCAAGGTCTTTTATGACTAATTACTAAATGCGACCACGGAATCAGTCCTACAAACAACCATTTGAAAAAAGACTGGCTGGATTGATTAGGTATGCAGCTAGCTGTAACTTCATGAAAATATAGGAGTTAGCCTACTGACAAGTAGAAAGCTCAGGGTCCCTATGCCTAAGGACATGAATTATAAATATGCAAGTTTGATCTGTCCAACGTAATGAATTCTGCTGTAATAATTGAAAACGAAGGTGAGTATCAAGCCATGGGCACCAAATGTTTTGCTGGGGCCGCGAATAGGCATATTCTACATTGTTACAAACATTTGTCTCGATAGTTCCTGGGCCTAGCATGAAAAAATTACGCTTCCACGTCAAGAATTGACAGCGCCTATAGTCCTATACTAACAGATGATTCCCATGAGCTTTGAACATTGCCCATATTCAGCCCTATTCCCTACAGAACCTACACCACATTCATCATGGATGAGTAGTGCGACCCGAGATCATTGATAAGGTACAAGAACTCTATAATACTTGCACAGTGATGGAAATGTGGTCGGAAAAAGAAATTTGAACGAATGTTCTCGTTCAAGGTGATAACTGGGACGCTTAGCTCTAGCTGAACTAGAGATTGGTTTACTTTATACCGTAGGTACATATTTGTTATGGTATTGCATACTACATAAATACAAGTTAATGAAAAAACACAGACAGCCTAAGACAGGTATTGTGGCTACAACCTACAAGCCTACATGACCACATCCAACTTACCAAATTATTATGGAGGAAACTTAGATAGTGCGACCGTTGTTCTTGTAGTGTAGTCGTAGCGTGCTCCTGCAATGACAAAAGCAATGAAGTCACATGACTCATGATGACTGCTTTCACTTAATTTAGGTAACTGTCTTCACTTCCACAAACACTGAATTAACGTGAATGCCCTCACATGAGGTAACTGTCTTCACTTCCACCAAAACTGAATTAACGTGAATGCCCTCACTTTCACAAACATTGAATAACCGTGACTGCCTTCACTTCTAGAAACACTGAATTAACGTAAATGCCAACATTCGCACGAACACCGAAATCACGCCACTACCTCCCAACACTTGCAAGAAGACTGAAGCAAGCAAGCTAGTAGCTACTTAGGTTGAACAAAGGGGTGCGTCTAAAAGTGTCTATCGCGCGTACATGGAAAAACTGCCTCCTGTGAATGTTTTCTCATTTTAGTTGACAATTTGTTCCATATATTCCCACCTTATAGTATCTCAACGTATATTCAGTTCCCGCAATGAGGCGATGCAAAATAAATTGAGGCTATATACATTCCGAGGGATAACTTTCAAAGTCTAGTTAATGAAATGCAACCAAAAAATGTTAATTTTTGGAATTAATAAAATTTCGTCACCTGTCAGTGGTTCTATTTGATAACAATTTTTGTACGGCAATCGGGGCGCATTTTAAAAGTTAAGTAAGCTTGTTGCATTTAATAGTTGACCATTCAATTATTAAGGCCATACTATTCCAATAAATAGTTCATTTATTTGCAACTGATAGGAGATTCATTTGCAGGATTAGGAAGTTAGGGCGACTGCACTCGCCAGCGTATTTGACAGGGTGATATTTAAGGGCGAAGATGAAGTTGATTAGAAAATTAAAAGCTGCAGCTCATAGTAAGTCAGCGTCAAGATCGAGATTGCAAAGGAAATAAGCTGTAGAAAAGTGAAAAAAAATATAACTCAGTACTCACTGCAGTGAGTGACAGAGAGCGCATTTTGTCGTCGACGAAAACTTGAGGTCACGGACAGACGGACGGACAGACAGACGGACGGACAGACAGACGGACATGGCGA